ATTATTCTTCATACTCTTGGGCAGGTTATAGTATACTCTTCATTACGCTACGATCAATAGGAGCAGAGCAGTGAAGGGAAATATTGGGAAAACGGGAGAAGTTACTCCATTTTATAATAAAAATTCGGAACAGAGGTAGAGTATGGTGTGATGTAAATGTAATACATTGGCATTTTCCCCCTGGGATCGCGGGCGAAGCCGCTGGCAGAAGCTAATATAATAATATAAGATAAGTATAAACATAACATCACGCTTTTTATCCCCGAAGGTCGAATATATAGAATATCCGGGTTGGCAGAGGTGCACATAATCTACGGCACTGCACAATGTAACACCCACTTTTCACACTATTTATGTTATGAGTCCCATATAATAGGGGCTGAGCTTATTACCATATACCGGGCATAATTCCAGACTCCGTGTTACTACAGAGAATCTTTAAAAAAACCCAATAGGTAATACTTTGCCCGACGGGAGTCGAACCCGAGACCCCTTGACCGGCAGCAGATCAACGTGTATATAATACTGATCAGTAGATAATAAATAACATTTAGCGAGAGTTTATGAATGATATAGCAAGAATTTTCTACATCTACAATTACAGTAACCAATTTATGCATCGAAGCAAAACATTCCTTCCAAATTCAAATTATATTTTAAAATCTTAGCAGCCAGTCCGTACATATCAATTTGCGTTCGCATTACAAGCGTTCAGCCTATAAAACCGATAACATCGTTATTATGTTCCAAATTCGAATGAAATTGTAACGTAAGCATTTAACGCCTTTAGCGATTGTTAGGAACTGCCCCGAGGTGGCGCTGCCGGCCCGGAAGGTGGCAGGAAATAGCCACTAATGGCGGCCCAGCGGAAGCGCTGCCATTACGCCGCTAGTGCTGCTCAAATAATTACATAGACAGTGTTTATTTTGCAATATAGGTAAGTTTTGGATAAATATGGGGAGATAAATGGTTATTTTTGTAAAGGAAGATCGGTTCCAGATGATATATTTCTAAGGAACCCGTTGTATTAACACGCCACTTACTTAAATGTTTTTTTTTTCTATACCTAATAATTTAAATCACAATTTTAGTCACATTTTTTGCCTTCATTTAGCTACTTTAAAGTCTACTTGCCTGACTGACTTACTTGCCTTATTTATTTCTAAATATCAAAACTTATGTAATTCAAGTAAGCAGAAACACACAAGTCTAAACTCAAAACTGGAATAAGAAGCACACATCATAAATAACGCTGACAATTTTCATTCTGTGCAAAGTTCGGAGCATTTCTAGGAAGTTGGACGATAAATCGCTAGGAAACCAAGTGAAAAAACTGTCGGATCCTGACCGTAACGAGTTTTAAATTGGAAAATCTAGTTACAACTTTAGGAGTCTGAAGTTTTGGACTTTGGACCTGAAGAAACGTCTCGCGTCGAGTCTATGGGTATCTACTGTTTACTTTTAAACCTTTTGATGGAAAAGTCTTGAGTACTTAGAATAAACATTGATTATGTTTTCAGTTATTTGTAGACTAATCTCTCAATAGATTTTATAAAAATGTACAAAAACTCAAGTCATTTTATTTGCATGTTGCTAGCAAAATATTTTTAACATAATTATTACGATGATAAGTAGGTAGTTGTAGTTCACAGCTGTAGGCATTTAGCATTTAACACGTTAACAAATGCGCAAAAAGTAGGTACGGATGACAATAATTAAAAGACTATCAGCTCCTAGTCTAGCATTCTACTCAGTAGCCTGCGATCACAGGCAGTTAATCACCCTGTGCATTAACCGCGTCTGTCATCGTAGCGACGCCATTGTTCTCAGAACTTCGCAATTTCCCCACACAACACTAACAATACGCTAATGCGAAACCGCCAAGTAGGTGCACAGATTAAAAAATCATCCAGGATAATAAAGAACTTATCGGCTGTGAGATCTGACGCCGGTGCCTAGCGAATGGAAAAAAAGTAAAAAAGGCGGGAATTTGATTCATAATGACATCAAACATGGCGGCACTGATTGCGATCTGAAAGGGAGATAAGAATGGGGTGGCTTTGTCTTGCGCTTGATTACTATTTATAGTGCTTGTAGGTGTAGTGGAAGTCTATATTTACTGGCCTTATACCTATAACCCTTATTCTGCAACGGCTTAAAGAAAACACCCAAGAAACGGTTTCAGCTATAAACTGAAAAACACAATTTATACCGAAACGCACCCACAGAAATGTAAATACAACGAATCGTAACCGAATTGGTCAAAGGGTAAAAGGGAAATCACTGTCCATTTACCGAATTCGACGTTTTGTGACAAGTTTCGGACGGGCACAATATTTGCGTTCGAAAAATTCGAGGAGGTCGCATTCTTTAGGTGCACACTATAAAGGTCATTTTGGTAGCGAAAACTATTTTTGTGGGCGCAATCCTGTGTGTAGGTATTCGAACACAATATAAACTGTAATAAAATAAACCGTCCGCAATAATTTTTATTGTAAGAAGGGCCCTCGAATTATCATTTAGATGGGGTGGTTGGCAATATGGCGCGAATTCTGGTGCCGAGCAAAAAATAGATCGGGAATGAAACAGCCGACGCGTCAATTGAGTTACTGTTAGGGATGATCTTGTAAAGAGACTTTTTGGGGATTTTTGTAATTGCACCTATTTTATTGTAGAGGGTCTTTTGTTTATGGATGAGTGGTGTTGTGTTGTGGTAAAGATTTGTTCGCTTATTTCTTTGTTTAGAAGGAGGAACATACTTGTACGATGATACATTATTTTATTCAAGTGGTTGGGATTTTTGCTTTAAGATCTGTGGTTGTTGTTTAAGATTTGTGTTTTGAAATAAGATTTTTTTTAACTGAAGCTATACTGAAAGTAATTAATACTTAGAGCTGTGAGCTCTTACAATACACTAGAAGTCAGTTACCTCCTGTACTATACTGCTGTCGCCGATACGTGTCGATGGCAGCAGTTGTCTTTGCCGTTGTCAACATGCAGGTTGTGTGTAAGAGCTTCTTGATGTAATCTATCAGTTATGAGTTGGTAGAACTTTTATAATTATATTCATAACAAGCATAGAGTGTTAATACAAATATTAAATTTTAATCTAAACGTCGTCGCCAACAAGTATTAATGACCAGCTCCCCACAAACATGTTATTCCCCTGAAACACATTAGTCGGAGCACGTTAGGGATTCGAATGCGGCCACATCCACAAGCGGTAGCGATTGAACTAACAACTATAAAATAGGTGATATTTCTTTTTGAGGGATATTGTTCAGTCCATTAAATTCTATCACTAATTTTGACACAGGTAGCTCCTTATTCATTTTCAAATTCTTAAGTCTAAATAAAACCATTTAAGTAAGCAGTATTTAAATGGTTTTATTTAGATTTGTTCGTATGTTTGTTTCTTTGTTTGGGTCAAGTAATTGGAATATTACCACATTCCTGATGACAGATCGATCTGATATTTGGTACACACTCTTAATCTTGGAGACCATACCTAGGTACTACCTCTATATTATCTGATTTCACATTTCCTTATTTATTTTGACCCGGTTTCCATCAAAACAGAGAGGAAAGGAAACGAGAAGAGATGTGCTGTGAAGCTAGCAGGATATTTCTACAGGTAGCGGAGTAAATGTAGCGGAGAGGGTATGTGTAAATGAGCATTCAAAACCAGTCTCCTCTCCTCTCCACTTTTGTGGAAACTGGGCCCAAGAGATATATCTAAAGAGCATGACAACAGTTCAATACAACTTCAATACCACACTGGAAGAAGAGCCCATTGCCTTACATCTGTTAGAATTTCAAACTTCGAGCTACTTATTAATGAGAATTTTAATATGAATACCGAACTACTCAACACTACCGGACACTAAAATCCTTGCTCGGTGGTTGTGCTTGCGACTCTACCAATAAAGCTAGTAGGTATAGGAACAATACAGTACATAGTAAAGATGGGAAATCGCTGTAAGCGCAGCACCATGTCCTCTTGCCATAATGACACTGCGAAGCGGCGGCGTGGGCCGAGGGCCGCCAAATGGAAAGAGAATCAGCGCTGATAAATGATTTCGGTACAAATGTTATTTTGATCTTTTGCGATACCCACAGATTTGTTTTGGGGGCGTGCACGATTACAATACGTCTGCTGCTCCTACTTTTTGATTGCATTTTGTTTTACTACATAGCAACATTGTTGTTAAATTTGTTTTCATGTATTGCCAGTTCAATTTTCCGATATGCGCACATTTGATTTTGGAAATCTTTGACCGACAGCCGCCTCTGCCAATTTCTATAACATATCGTAATCCAAAATATATGGATTAAACTGTCAAACACCAAGCGGTCACCGGTGACCGCAACCTATTGTTCTATAATTGTGTCTATATTGACGGTACTCGACGAGTTAAGATCGATTTTTGACAGAAACTCCATGCAACTACTGTCAATAATCGATCTATATCGACAGATTTTCAATTAAGATAGTTTATTGAAATTGGCAGTTAGTCGTTAATGTAATTACTGAGCATAAGGTTCCTCGTGATTGTTCAATTTCTACTATTAGGTGTTTGGAGTCAAATCGAGCGGTGGAAGTTATGACTATTACTACTAGGACGACCGAAGTACCCAAGGCTTTGAAGATTTGATTCCTCGGTCGAGCATAGAACTGTTGTTTTTTTCCAGTTTTTCGGTGTCTATAATCTCCTAATACTTGCCTACTTAGGTACTGGTGATATGTGGGTGCTCCATTATTTCAACGTCTACCTCTACCTAACCCAAGGAATAAAATGTTAAGTTTATTAAATCACGTAAGAATAAATATTTGTTTTATTTCCAAGGTAATGCCGTCTATGTGAGGCAAGCTTAGTAAAAACAAGATGTATTACAAAATAATTCTTTATTAATTAATATCTCCCTAATGAAACAGAAATAAACAAACAAAAGATAACACTTAATGATCTTAAAACAATTCAATAAATTAAGAAAGACTACCTGAATATATAAATAGGGACAGACGACGTCATAAAATCGAATTTAAGCGCTTTACAGCTAGCATTAGCGTGCCGAGTAACACAAGTCTCACTTTGGAGTTCCGGTGTAATCCAAATTATGGTGTTTCTTCCAGGGCGGCCAGAGATTTCGGGTTCTTACCCTGAAAAAATTGCTTATTTAATTTACCAGAAGTCGCGAGTGAATATACTGAGAAAACCTCCACTAGTTTTAAACCACAGAGGGGTTCTTCCTCATGAGCAGTGTGCGCGGTCGCAGCAATGTCGCGCAGCCTACTACATTCTTAGTTAATTTAGTATGAACATGAAACAGGAGAAAATTTAAGTAATAAAAGTTCATCAAAACTTTTGCATTATGTCATTAATACTGATTTTTTTATGAAAGAGGTCGGCAAACGAGCAAACGGTTCTTTATGGTAAGCAATCGGCGTCGCCCATGGATTCCTGTAACACCAGAAGAGCTACAAGTGCGTTGTGTCTTTAGGAGACTGGGAATAGTGGGAATTTGGGCCCCCAGTGACCACATTGCCACCATGCCGATCAGAATCATAAACAAACTAAATTGTGGAAACAAGAATGCCATGGCGTATATCAAATAATCACAATGTAATTACTTTCTCTTTAAAAAACATTAATATCCAGATATGTAATGGTTTCTAATATTTACCCATTTATGTCCCAGCCAGGCTAGCGACGCGTTATGCAGGCGTGGACCCATGAGAGGATTCATTTGTGATATGTACATAGTTGTCCAGCTGAAACGAACATTGAATACAAGGTTATTTGTAAAACAACCTGACTAGCAAGAATGCAATATGTCTTTTCATCAAAAAGATACACTGCCTGACATTGGAATTACTCTTAACAATCAATTTCACGTCGCATAATATGCATCACACTCACTATTTAACGATTTTTAGATCCTTGTTCCTTGCGAGAGTTGAACCTACGACACGCAGTGAACCTAAACTAGGTACTTTTAAAGTTTATATTGTTTTAAAGTAAAGGCTATAAAAATAATAACTATAATAATCAGCAAAGAGATATCCAATTGTGAACAAAGATCATGAACCTCACGAATGGTAGACGGCTCAGGTGTAGGTTGCCAAAAATTGAGAGAAACAGAAACTTACAATATCCACATGCAGAATGCAGAGATCATGATACAACATCTTGTTATTCTGTAAGTAAATAAAATATCTGTTATTCACTTCCCTAGTTTGTCGAGCAATCATAACTATGTGACCGCCAAACAAGGTGTACACCTTTTTAATTTGTTAACGGGGATATCTATCACAGAATCCAGGCTGATAGTAATACGACTAACATTATTATCCATGTTGATGATGATGAAAGTGTGAAAGAAAAAAGTAATATGTACTAACCCACTATTGGGTCCTTTACGGACTAAAAGTGGTCCAATGATAAACATTGCACCAAAAACAGCAGTTAGAACGAATATTGGTACATAGAATGTTTGGGGAGGATGCTTCGGTGGGGCGGGTGTTGTTGTTACTGGACTTCCTGTACCGTTGGCGGCGTCACTACTACTATCTGTTCCAGTTCCTGTAGTGTCTTGAGCCTGCGGTAGTGTAGTATCGTCAGACTGCGGTAGTGTAGTATCGTCAGTCTGCGGTAGTGTAGTATCATCAGCCTGCTGTGTTGTAGGTTCATCATCCTGACGCCGCATTTCTCTTTTCGTTATTTTCGCTTCTCACAGCAAAATTGATCTCAATCCTTAATATGATTAACTGTCAATTAAAAATTTCTTTCACTTCAATTGTTGTTTTTTCGTTTTCTATTTTGACGTGTGTTCTAAATCGACTTTAGCTTCCATAAAAACTCTGTGGTGAAAATAGTTGGAACTTCACGAATGAATTTACCAGGTGAATTTACCCAGGTTTCACTATATTAGGAATGTGCGATATAGTCGAATGAAAACTTGTGAAAAAGGTTGGCATTTTAATTCTTTGTTAGTGAATTTCTGTAGTCGCGGACACAATAAGTAGGTTTTGAGACAAGTATTCTATAGTCAAAATTTTATTTATTTATTTATTTATTTCTATCTTTCTTTGTTTATTTGTTTCTTTATTTATTTATTTATAATTCATGGAGGACTTACAGCATATAAAAATAGATAATAATAACAATAGGCGTAGGTAACAATGAGCCAATAACTAGTCCTCACGTTTAGAATTTGAAATAAATTTATTTATATGGTGTGAGTACTATACAATTAAAAATACATACATTCTGCTTAAATGAAAAAGTTAAATATTAAAACAGACCGTGTAGACAATATGATTGTATACAGATCAAGAGAAACGATAAAAAAAAACTAAATATCTATTGCTGCTTAAAAAATTTGAGGTTTAAGCACCTCTTTGCCGAGTTCACACTAGTTGTAAACGGATCGAAGTCATATTCCTTACAAACATTGTTAAAGTGTCTGCTTGCACGCATAATGTAACTGTTCTGCCTGTAGTTAGATGAGGAACGGGATACGTGTAAAGGTGGATTAAATCTAAATATTTTATTAGGTACATTAAATTTGATTCTGGACTATCCACATTGCCGTTAAGAATCTTAGACAAGAATAGACAATCTGCAATGTTGCGTCGATCTACCAATGGTAACAAATGAAATTTTCTACAGAGTTCAAGACATCCTCGTCTTAATTACCCTAAGTTGCCCAGGATAATAATTATTATTCTATAGTTGTTTTTTTCGAGGTTGTAAGTTAAGGTTTAAGGACAAAGTAACATAAAATGTATAGACATAAGTAAGTTAAGTAACGCCACGGTGCCGGTACCCGAGGCCGGATCGGAATCAGCGCTATCGGCCGATCGCAGATAGCACGAGAGCGGTGTATGCGCCCGCGCACCTATAATGACTCAATTATCCGCTTAGCGAGGGCGTGGCTCCGTACAGTATGTCTTCATTACAACCAAGCGCTCACCAAGTAGGGAGAAAGCTTTCGTAATTAAACTAAACAAAGATCATGTACTTTTATTTAACCTCCCACCACCTATTAGAGGGACAAATACAATGGGTGCATTTAGAAGACGCTTGCGACAATACCTCATCGATACACAGCGAAGGCTTGATATGGTGGTGCAAAATACCTCAATTATATAAGTAATGTACCCGTGCATTCTGTTCATACACACGCAATATAATTTTTATCATATTTAATAAATCTTTTTTGGCTAATTACTATACCCTATTATTATATGTATGTATGTATTATGGTATAACTATATTAATTACTTAATAATTTTATAATACACTTCACACGCTACTCTGCATTTACTGCTTTACGTCCGTTGCGTCACAGCCACAGGTTCAGTTGAAAACCAGCGTCAGGCACAAGATGTCTGGCATTTATGCTGAACTGGACCTTTTTTGATGCAGCTGTCAGGCACATGATTATTGTTGGTATATTTATCTTTTTAAATTTTGTATATACCTATCTACATCTATTTATGTTTTTTTTTTAATTTTTCTATTTCACTCCTAATTTTTTGTTTGCATTGTATTTATTGTATTGTGTTTGTGCCTGGTGTTGTACCAAATAAATTATTTTTCTTTCTTTCTTATATCTTTATTATATTATTTTCTTTCTTATTTTATATATATATGTTATCCTCTGTGCTGTTTGTGTGTACATAAATTAATTATTAAATAAAAATTAATAAATAAATGAACTACCTATTAAGATTTAGCATTTGTGAGTCATTTGGCATGACTGATATACTATCATTATTTTAGTATGTTAGTAACAAGATGTTTAATAGTTAAGAAATAATTTACACACAGTGTCTGTATATGCCATTGTTAGATTAGATGCCAAATAAATGCTTTTCTTTCTTTCTCTCTATGTTCGTTACTCGTCGTACTACGTTAGTCATCGAATGACTATCCTATCCTTCCACCTTGGGTAAAGATACGTGGGTTTGTATGAAAGAGGCAATGCGACAAAATGTCCATGCTGTACCTATTTCGCTCAGTATTTCTAGTACCCAAAAGCCGTTTTCACTATAGCCCAACTTTAGGAACAGTCGTGTGCGCAGAGCACATCATAGTGCCTTATCTATTGGTACGGGGAAGTATAGCAAAGAATTTATAGGTAATATCGATGCGCACATTGATGGCCGTTTATGGTGCATTTCCCCGTTCCACGGACTCTATCGGCTCATCTCAGCCAGTTGACCCCAAGAGGTCATGAATTGATTTTTAAGTTTCTATTTTATGAGGAGATGTGGCTTATACAGTTATCTTAGAGATTTTCAGAAAGATTGACCTAATGGCTTGTTTAAAATTGTTCAAAGCAGGCTTTATTGATGCTGTTTTATTAAAAGGATTGTTATTTAGATTGTATCATCGTTCGTTAAGTTTTGTTTTAGTGGCCATGTTATGTTTAGTTGTTCATCAATTAGACCCATCTCTGTTATTCTATCCGTTTCTGAAGAGACGTGACAAATATTTGTAGTTAATCTATATGCATAATGATAATAATTTGAATGTTTGATTTTTCCAGTGGCATTCAAACAAGTACTTAAGTATGGTCCCTTTCAATTTGAATAAATACCCAAATCAAAAACTTATTTTGAATAAAAAATTATGCATCCCATTTGAGAGAAAGTCTTGAATGTGAGTAAATTAAGTACTACATAATCTGCACAGCTACATATTATAAAATGGATCCCAAGTCCTTTGAATACAAAATTCTCGTTTCATATTAATTTCTATTTTATCGGAAATCTTCACGGTCAGAGGACGACGATGTCTTTGCCTCCAGATATTATGGGCGGGCGTTTTGACAGCTGTCACTTTGACGGAGCGGGTCAAGCGACGACGCTCGCTTCAATTTCCGGAGGGTGTGACGTCGTTGCATGATTTGAATTTAATTTTGGAACGGCTCCATCATCTATCGTCAAGACTTCGCTAATATTTATAGAAAAGAACTATAGTAGGTTTGTTATTATAAGAAGGCACCTAATAAAAATAAAATGTTTCGTGAATTCTTCAACACATTTCCTACAATGATACAAACCAGCTTAGCTATGCAGAACAGTTCCCGCAGAACCTCCCCAAAAATAAATAAAACAAAAGTCGCTAGAACATTTCCTTGAATACAAAATTCTATGCAGTAACATATGCAAGCGAGTTGTCATACATTGCGAGGCTGCAGCGACCCGGAACATAGCATGTGACTTCCTGGCTAAAATAAATCACGTGTGATTTATTTTTATTCGGTTGGCAACACTGAGCGTTGCATATATTCCCGCCCTGCAATGCCGTTACCATTCTTTATTTAAATTATTTTCGCGGCTATTTGGCCAGGACGTGCCTAGCGTATTTTTTATCTGTATTTACTCGGCTGAGCGTTTATGAACGGAATTTATTTAAATTGTTTTATTTATTCGCGTTTGTATTGGGATCTGTTGGTGCATTGCATATTCGTGAAGTACCAATATGAATTTATTGTTTATGTTTATTTCGTAGAAAATAATTTTTCTATAGTAGCAACAGAGTGACAACACAATGGAACAGCAACAACTATAGTAGCAACAGAGTGACAACACAATGGAACAGCAACAACTATAGTAGCAACAGAGTGACAACACAATGGAACATCAACAACTATAGTAGCAACAGAGTGACAACACAATGGAACATCAACAACTATAGTAGCAACAGAGTGACAACACAATGGAACAACAACAACTACAAGAACTATAGTAGTCAGTAAGAGTCTGACACTGAAAAATCATCAAATGTCTTCTCGCGCTTGACTCAGGCGGGAGAAGACATTCGATAATTTTCCTACATTAAAAAAAAA